CCAAATTTGGTAATACTTTCTTGCACAGAAAAAAGTCAATTATTTGGTTTACCCCCGGCTGCCCACAATACTCAGGACAAAGGCTTCCGCAGGTTGAGAAGACTGCATGTGGATCGGCACAGGTGCAACGTTGTGGATTCACACCCAGAGAAACAATCAATGCTCTACAGCATTTCTAAAACTGACAAAAGTGGATGATATAGTAAGTTTTATCCATACAAATCGACAAAATCACAGCTATCCCTACAAGGTTCCAAAGTAGTGCAGAAGACTTCAAAAAGTGCAAGTGCACAAGTTTCACACAGCTTATGGAGGGTGCGCATTAGCTTCAAATCGGATTGAACCAAACTTAGCAGTATTCATAAGCAAAGCCCCATGTAATTTCATGCATGTTGTACTTTTTTGAAAAAGAGTGAGAGAGAGAAAAGATGATATTGACAATAAACTACAAAGCTAACGTTCTACTAGCTGCTTGCAAGTACCATACGGGATCCACAACCAGACACTTTAAGTGTTGGGTTTTTCAAATCAAAATATATTTTGACTAGCTTTTAGGTTCAAAAGAAAGCATATCAAAGCTATTTCAATCAAACTTCGTGATTAATCACTTACTCCAACACGAATCGTTCATAGAAATGAAGAAAAAACGGGGTTGAAAAAAGTCGGAACGAGATTATGTAATACTCTTTGATTTTTGAATCTTGAAGTTCTAAAGCGTGGTGCTCGTTTATAGTCCCGTAATTCCAAAACAAAAGTATTTCTATTACAACAAATATACAAAAGCAAACTTTTGGATGTTACCCAATATTTCTATCTAGGAAAGTCCAGTACCAACATGAAAGGAGTGGAGTGAGTGCCTATATGGATTTCGCCTGATCTAATGTCTCGTGTTTCGTAGAAGTGATGTGTGATGTGCAACTACACATTAAGAAATTTAATGCAAACGCATTGTTTCCAATCAAACGCAAATGGAATTATAGCGTGGAAAATACAATCCAAACGTACCTGTTCCGTTGGACAATCGGAATCCGACGCGCACGACCTGCCACCCACATCGACCGTAGTTCCTGGACATTTTGGCGACACTTTTGACGTACTCCGACCATCTTAGGATAAATGTTGCATAAACAAATTAATAGCTAGAGAGAGAGAGAAAATAA